GTATAAGTCTGTAAGGATTTGACGGTATAGTATTTTAATTTCTGGTAGCAGATGAGCAGACTTCACATACATCTAAGCAGCAATCTTTAAAATCTATCAGTTCACCTAAACTTGTGGAGGAAGTTACATTGGCCGTAGTCAGAGGACGCTTTCCACACGCATACGAGAACATATTTCACCATGGTTTTAAAAGGAGAAAGCAAATGTGTGTGCGAAGCTCTATTCTGGAACACCTGATCGACTTCTGTCACTCTGTCAACCCTGACCATGATTTTAAGAACATATATAGAACTCATGCTAACTTTCCGCGTTTTCTTCGTTACAGACTTCTAAAGACAGCTGAGGCCTTGGCAATTCATGAATTTAAGCCAGGCCTTTGTGTACTTCTGCCTTGGCCGTAGAGGGATAGACATTTATTTATTTTGTTTATTTAGTTATTATATGTACTTTTCCTTTATTACTACGATTATTATTATTACTATTTTCCCTCTGAATCTTTTTTACATGACCCGCTTGTCATTCTAAACCCAAAATTATTATTTTTTCATTTTTACAACAATAAATTCTATCTTATCAAATTTCACTCCATGTTACGTAACGTTTTATATTCGTCTACTAATCCTATGATTATGTAACCCTTCCAAGTTCTATCCATCCTATATATTATTCTGTATATGACATTAATTATTGTGCCACTTGACATTAAACTATGATTATAATCACAAATAATTTAATTGCATTTTATACTATTATTTTTTGTGTTCACATTTTTGATCCAATTCCCCCCACTGGATATAATTTCTTAAAAACCATATGTGTATATACGATTGTACAGCTTGATAATAAATTCGTTGTTGAAAAGAGTCTCTTCGATGAATATTGTGTTCTTAAATTAGTGGGTGACAGATGAATTTAGTTGGCAACTGAATAAGTAAACTTAAATAAGACCCGATTATGGCAGCTATGAGGTGGAGTTTCTTTTATGTTCTTATACTAGTGACACCCTTATTCTGCACCATAAGTTCATATCTTTAAACATTCCTATTACTAATATTAGAACAAGACATATAAGCGAATAATATTGTTGTTTTCAATTAGATCTTCTACAGGCTTTACTCCACTTTAAATAGATTGATATATATAAAAAATTTTAAACCGCTGACGGTGAGTTTATGGATAAAATAATAATAATAATGTGCCAAATGTTTTGAACGTCAGTAATAACGATAATTGTGATGATAACAAGGTTTATCCATGTGGCAATAAGAATAACGAAGGTAGTAATACGCGTACATATGTAGACAATTCAATCAATAATCAATTAGGTTAAATCTCGAAAGTTACGTAATACTAAAGGTGAAGTGGATAGATAATCAGAGATTGAATATCATAAAAGTACGAAGGAGATAGAAAATAAGAAAGGATGGGAGCGTTTTGAATAAAATTCACCTAGGCTAAACAAGAGAGAGACAAAAGTAGAACAAACTTCTTTTGTTGTATGCAAAGACACTAGGATTGTTCTCTCGAATTAATTCCTATGGCTTGAGCTATGTGTAAAAGGCGGGCACGGATTTCGTTCGAAAGTTTCGATGGAATGCAACAGATAACTTTGAAGGCACTTCTTCTGTCCCCTTGGTAACCGCTGTGATCAATCAAATGAGTCGAAATAGAACTTCATATAGACTTTATTTGACCTTTTCCAAACCATGAAGGAAGATGCCCAGTAATAAAGGGTTTGTTTAGCCGTCTAGTTGTTCGTTCTCCCTATATAGCTTTCTCCGCAGGAACAGCAACATTTGTAAATACACATAGAAGTTGAACAGCTAGGTAGCTTGTCTTTTGCCTGAGCAATCATAATTGGTCTGCAGGAAAATGACAAACAAACGGTGACGACGATATAAGTCCGTTTTATTGCTCTCAATAATCTTAGGTGTAGGACATCATTAGCGACGTTCCCATTAAATTGCAATTTTAGGAGCAGTTGTTTCTTTTTAACTGTTGTTAATCTCTCTTTATTATTTTTTGATTACAGCTTGATACAACACTGCATTTTTCATACAGGTATGGAATTTTCAGCACGGATATCGGTAGCCCAAATTTTGCAGGCCGACCATGGATATCAGGTGTGCGTCGGCAGCGGATTGATCCTCGGACCATGTGCGTGGTAGGCGAGAGTCCTAACCACTGTGCCACCGGCGTACATTCAAAGGTAACACCATTTCTGAATTGATTAAAAATCGTTCATCTAAATGTATTAAACGCACTTTTCCTGCAGCTGACTTGCAACTAGTTTTTACCAGCCGAAACATGATTAGACAATGTGTCAGGCATAGATTCCCGCTTATGTCCACATCTATGTGCATTTACTCTTTCCCCTATTCTTGTGGAGCTGATTATATTGGACGTTGTAAACGTACTCCCTGAAAACGTGTAGCTGAACACTATCCGGTTCGATTAATGAAAGGCGTACGTAGAACTGCAAAGTCGTCTATTTGTGGACACCTGTTAGATAGAGTTTGGTCATTCTGCTCCACATGATTCATCTTTCAAGGTTATCTATCTACATGACCAAATCGAATAGCTACAAAAGTTTACGTTTTCTTCACTTATGCATAGCTAGCCGAATCTTTAGCTATACATGAACAGAAACCTAAATTATGTGTTCAAAAACGTTTTGTCAAACCACTTTCTTTACCTTGGTCATAGTAATTAATGTTCTTTCTAGTTTTTATTTTATTTTACCACTTGAATTCATTCCGCTTCACTTCACATCTTCATTCTTATCGTAATCGTACTCCTAATTATTTTTTATAATTTTTAGACAACGCTTGACATTTTTGTTTTAAAAATATTTTTGATATCAATTCACTTATAGAAAAATCTTTAATAATTTTGTAATTCATCCACATCAACTCTACGCCTTATAACATTTTAATTATCGTTATTCTTATCACTTATGATATGTATATTGACTGAGCAATTACTTAGTGCCACTCAGTAACTTTTTCTGTAATATAAATACGACTGTACAGTTGGCTTGAAAATGAAGTCGTTGAAGAGAAATTTCTTCGCTGAACAAAAAAAAACTTTATGGTAAAATAGGCGAGATTTAGGACTGCGCAGACTGGGTACCGCCACCTTCCCCCCCTCTGATGATGTGTGAGGTTGACTAGAATTCTACTACTACTGCGAGATCTTGCACGTTAATTATTTCAGAAGTTATCAAATGAATAGTTTAAAAATAAAAACGGATAACTGTAAAAACGTTTCCCAAACATGATCCTACCACTTTTACTTCTATCATTGTATGGTACTATTTTAATCCTCTCCCCCCATGCCCTTATGTAATAACAGAGGACAAGGGCCGGGCAACAGATCGTTTATTACGGAAATCAGCACGTATATATATATATTTCATATACATTATTATAGCTTATTCAAGCAAACAAACACAGTCCTCTGATTGGTTGTTTCTTGCTCAAGGTTATTCTGTACTGCTTGTGACTGGTTCCTCAGAAAGCTAAGTCATATATCTGCGAATTGTATTTACCCGCGTTAAGTCTGCTGTGATTGGTTGCTGAATCAGTCTTGTTCACATTTTCTCACGGTCAATAATTAGCGACCTAGACACTGACGTAAATTAATGTCTACCAATTGGCTAGCAGCCTGCTCTCACCACCGCATGTCCTTATATCTTACATAATCTTATTACTTCGTTTTCAGTAATGTCATAAATCTCCCTAAGTTACAGCTAAAATGGTTAACTAGATTCTAAATGGTTGACATGATGCATGGCGATATGTTTTTGAACCTCCCCCCCTCTCTCTCTCTCGAAACAACGAATACCCAATATCACAGGGTATGAAACTCTGGAATAAGAACTGTCGAATATTGTTCAGTTTTCAGTTGTTCTCTGGCTACTGTTAACTGGTAAACAAAAATCACCCTCTACAGTTGGCTTCCTCGACGTGCAATGTTAGCAGATATAAATTCAGGCTGGAAAATAACTAGCGGAGGTCAAACAAAAACATGTAGCCAGTCAGTGAAATCCACAACAGTTAGTTAAAGCCAGTCACGTAGGAAGGTGTAGAGTTCCTGACTGGCTGAGGTCCTCAGAACGGTAAAAACCAATGAAGGCTGGAGACAATTATCGGTGATATGGCTCAAAATCTTTCTCAATGGCTAGCGCAGACGCATCCACTCCTTGTGACTTATGATTTCCACTGAAACTATATTGTTCTTCGTTATTACTATTCCTTTGTCTCACACCTATGCTTACTGCCCCTATTATGCTTTTCTTGTAATTTCTTCTCTTGCTTTGTGTGCTACAAGGAGGGAGTGTGGCGACTTGAACTGGTGCACATTTGTGCAAAGTTCTATGTAGAAAACAGACAGACAGACCCTCTACAGTTGGTAAACGGCTGCTGCTAGCAGTCTCATGTTTCGCCTTCCTCGGGACTTATCAACAGGATGTACACATATATACGTTGTTTGTACTGACATGGTGACATTAGTAAACGGTCTACAATTAGAAATTTATAAGAACCTGTTCCGATTGCTTGTAAGATAATTGAACAATTTAAACTTTTGAGAAAGTATTAATTTATGATACTTTAGGATTGTAATTTATAATATTACTGATCGTGCCTGTAAAAATGGCGTGCATTTCTTGTAAACCTACCCGTTTATACGAAATATAAATTATTATTATTATTGTAGTCAGACCTAGTAATTAATGAACCATACTAAGATATTTTAAAATGATGGGTAATCGTTTCAAGTCTTGATGGAAACACCATTTCTCTCAACGTGGGATGCGCAGCTACACAAAGCTGTTAAGCCCCAACTGGGACAAAATGCGAGTCCTATATCCCACCACGACTAAAGACTATAAACCAATATACCATTTTCTTTTCTATCTAAGTGCTCGTAGCACAGTAACAAATACTCTGTACATAATTTTACAAAACAATAAAATACTTACGAACAGTTAGAAAGTAGAAAAAAGAAATCATTTTTATTTATTCAATCAAATAGCAATAATAATTATAATAATCAAAATCAGAAAAATTTCTTCACACTCCACATTATTTTATGCCAAAAAAATTTTTGTATGAAACAATATTTATAGAAAAGCAAATTGTATCATAGATTTCATTATCCAGTTGACAATGTAACAAAAACGGAGGGAAAAAAATAATTTTGGCGCCAAAGCGTTCAATCGTTTAAACAAGAGCCCCACTGATGACCTTGACATATGAATTAAGCGCTTACTTAAAAAAAGCGTTAAATTAACAAATTCCTGGTATAAAGTTTTTATCCCTTATATATGTGTTTGTATATAATTTTTTCTTTGTTCTTATTATTATAACAAAAAAAGAGAATTATTCACAAAGAATAAATAATTGACCAGGAAAAGACAAAAGGAAAGGAAGAATCTGTTGACTTTACAGGGTATCATCAACTGCTACTACGTCGGCCTTCAACATTACAACTATGAATATATCACCAATACTGATGATGATGACAACATGATCACGTGATCACAAATTGGAATTATGTTCACAAATATATTTTCTTTGTGTGTGTGTGTGTGTGTATTTGTAGATGTGCAGATTTCATCTAGTGTATGAAAGTGTTTTGAAAGATTTGCATAAATGTTTGTTTATGAATTATATATGCTAATGCAGATATTAGCAAATGACAGATGAAGGAAGGGAGGCAGAGAAGGAGAGAGAGAGGGACAGCGCACGCGAGGTAGAGGAAGGGAGAAAGATTTAAGAAAAGTAACTGCAGATTCATTCATAAACGAATAGGCAGGCAGTCAGTGAGAGTTTTAACATATTCTCAAATAGATAATAAATATACAAGGGTGAAATATATAGGACAAAGGCAAATATGTAAATATATATCGGCTACAAATCAATTCTTGTAATCTGTGGAAAAGAAACGACAACAGTTCAGTTCAAATATCCAACGGATATGAATCGATTCGAGCGCGTATTTCATCTAGAGTATAATCTTTCAACAGGACACCATTTTTAAATACTGGGATCAGTATATCCTACAGCGTTATTGTTGTTGTAAGGAGGAAAGGGAATCAAACAGAAGCAAAAAGGAGAATTTTTAGTCAAACAAACGATTTTTTTTTGAAAGACAACATATGATACTCGGAAAAATAAATCAAAATAAAACTGATTAAAAAATGCCCAAGTGTTAATTTTCGAAAGAATGGATACTGAACAAGGAGTACTCTTTTTTGATAACCTCTTCTTCATCAGGTTCTACAGTAATATATACACATTATAGTGAATGAATGAATGAATTAGTGTTATGATGAACAACATTATTGTTGCTGTTTACATAACATCGAATCAGTAATATTGATAGATTACAGCTCAATAGCATAGCTCAACGTAAAATAGGCTGAATGTCAGAAAAATTAAGAAAGATAGCAATATTACAAATTCATGAATTTATAGTCTCTACTGAAGGCCGGCAAAGGCATTTGTAGGGGCTGGACTTGCTTCTTTTGAACACAGAGCACTGGTTGTTTCACGCGAATCCTGATAGCCTATGGTGTTTGGAGCATGCAGTGCTTCGATGATTTTGGCAATTTATTAGGCACCCGGTAGATGATAGAGAAGGATTCTTCCACGCTGGCTGGCTTTGTGGCCGGTTTGCACCACATGCCCGGCCGATAACTGCTACCTTGTCATGGTGGTCGGGCTTGAAGACCGTAATGACCGAACATGCTAAACTGACTGAAACTCATGTCCCTGCAGGTACTACCATGTCAGGAAGGTTGTTTGGATAGCGGTTAAACTAAAAGCAGTTACCATGGGGTACATGGGCTCCAGTATCCAATCGGATCAAATGGCGTATGAACCCATATGGGTCACCGTCACCCATGGAAATGCAGCTCCTGAAGCTGCTCCGCTGCCTTGCGGGTTAGGCTCCAAGTCAAAGGCTCAGGGGTGGTCCCTTAATAAAACTACCTGCTTCGGTCTCGGCGCCCGGGCAGTATTTCAGCTCTCACACAATGAATCAAATGAAGCAACAAACAATCAATGAAACTTACCGCGCGCTATTGCACAATGATTCCAAGTAATATTGATCCCTCCAGTAACTTGTGTCCTTCCTACCTTACTTTTATTTTTGTGCATAGTTTCCTGTATTTTACCTTTGCTAAACTTGACTTCTTAACCTTTGACAGCCTTTCGCCTTCGTCTAGATTTCGAGCCTATCTGCGTCGTTTCGAGATGCTAGTGAGTAATCCTCGAAATGGTTGTCCCCAATGTGACATCTAACACAGATATCCTGAAACCGCGTGCCGCGTTCAAGCTGGCCACCTACAATGTTCGGACGCTGATGCAAATCGGACAACAGGTAGGGTTGTTAAGTACTTTGGAAAGCCTCGCTATCGATGTCTGCTGCATTTCGGAGACCCGCATTCAAGATCCAAGTGAATACATTATAGTGAATGAATGAATGGGTCCCATTTCGGCTGATTTCTTTCTAAGTAAGCTAGAAAATGAACATTTGAACAACCGTATCAGTACGCGCTCATTTTATTGCCGGTATATGGATTACACCTTCATTCTTTGTGATAATGGCTCGGATAGGAGTACAATAATTACTGAATTCAATGAAGTACATTCTCCACTATGAAATTCACGTGCGAAGAGAAATCTCAAAACAGAATTGCCTTCCTGGATGTCCTACTTACAAGAAAACCAAATGGTAGCATAAAAAGAAATTTGCATAGAAAAAGCACTTGGACAGGACAATATACACATTTCCACAGGTACCTTCCTATCAAGTACAAAAGAAATTTGGTAAAGACCCTCAGCCACAGAGTTAGAACTATATGCTCAAAAGAAGTAACTGAAGATGAAATAAACATTGTTTATGATACTTTGATCGAAAATAGCTATTCCGAAACATTTATCAAGAAACACACTGCGCTTGTGGAGCGAGTTATGTTGACCGTTGCTCTAGGAACGTGATTTTTCGTGCTCCCTCGAAAATATCTCCCACTATGGCTAAGTAAAGGTATAGTTAAAACCACTAACAGTTCGATATTGGATCATCTGGTGCAAACTGGTCACAAAGCCACCGTACAAGAATCCTTCTCTATCATCTACCGGTGCCCAACAAATTGCCAAAATCATCGAAGCACCGCATGCTCCAAACAGCAGAGGCTATTGCAATTTGCCTCAAACAACCGGTGTTCTGTGTTCGAAAGAAGCAACTCGAGCCAGCCCCTACTACTGCCTTGGCAGGCCTTCAGTAGAGACTATAAAATCATGAATTTGTAATATTGCTATCTTTCTTAATTTTTCTGACATTCAGCCTATTTTACGTTGAGCTATGCTATTGAGCTGTAATCTATCAATATTACTGATTCGATGTTATTTAAACAGCAACATTAATGTTGTTCATCATAACACTAATTCATTCATTCATTCACTATAATGTGTATATATAACTGTAGAGCCTGATGATGAAGGGGTTATAGAAAAGAATATTCTTTGTTCAGTATCCATTCTTTTAAAATAAAACTCCAAAATCAAAGTGAGTGGTAGAATGCTCACCAACCAACCAACCAACAACGTCCAATAAGGTCCTGAGTTCGACTCCCAACCGGTACTGCACACCAAATCATCGCTTATCATACTAACCAATAGTAAGTCCGTAGAAAGCTTGAAAGCGTAAGGCTGACAACCTCATCATAGTGAAATCCGGACCCCAAGATTGTGAAAGTCGCGTGATGCTTGCTCATGCAAACCCAACTTCTATGCATGCGAATTTAAAAAAGGTTGTTGAGTTTTGTGACCTAGAGGTGTTGTTCAATAGCGAAGTTTTTTTTACTGTTCTACTGTGGAGCCCTGGATCATTGTTTAAGGTGCTGGACTTTAAACCATAATAGTTACGGGTTCGGGATCCGCTTCACCTCCGAGGTTTCGGCAGTCCCCCTCCTCCACACACATAAACACAATAAACGTAGCTCTTAACCAACTACATACATATCGAGTTGGTTGTGTTGAGTAACATCACCATGTCCTACTGAGCAACATTTTCAGCGCTACTTTCAATAAAAAGTGAGATCTGGGAATTCATTATACATAAAGATTCATAGCAATACAAGATCCGGATTTTCAACTCCAATGTGAAGTCAGTGCTACTCGCTATACGGACCAGAGACTTGGCGCGTCATAAAGAGCACCTCGAACGAACTACAGGCCTTCATCAACAGCTGCCTTCGCTCAATACTCAAGATAAGATGGCCAACAAAAGATCAGCAACAGGAATTTCTTGGAGCGAACCAATCAGAAACCGACTGTGCAACAAATAGGCAGGAAGAAATGGAGGTGGATTGGCTGGCCACACTCTGAGGAAGCCATCAAGTGACATCACTAGACAAGCCCTCGGGTAGAGAGAGAAGGGGAGGAGGTCATGTGAAGAGGAGATGAAAGCATGTGGGCACACCTGGAGCCAGGTGAAAGCTTTAGCAGAGACCTGAACGCAACGGAGACGTTTGGCTGAAGCCTTATGTTCCTCCAGGAATGAAAGGAAATAGTAATAACAATAATAATACAAGTGGTTGCCAACACAGTTAAGATAAAGTGTTAGGAGAAGTGAACACTTCATCCACGGTGAATTCTTTAAGAAGCTGTAAAGATACACGTCCACTACTCTGAAATCAGTGTGGAAATCGACTGCACACACACACACACACGCACAGCATATATAACAAGATGCAGGACTTCAACACTGATGTTGAACCAGTGCTTTCATCATATGCTTCACTGACATGACGCTGGCGGCGAGAGGAGGCGTTAACCACTGACTATACTGCAGGCGTTCATTAACAGCTGTCTTCGGTCATTAGTGAAGACCAAGTGGCCATCAGGGAAGGATACGAGACAAGGAACCCTGACAGGCGGCGAACCAACTAAGAACCTATTGCTCAAAAAAATATGCCAAAGAAAATAGGGATGGATAAATTGTGCATGGAGGGTTTCATCATGAGCTAACATAAGTTAGAGAACCACTAGAAAACCTGGAAGTACTGGACAGCTGTTTCGTCCTGGTGCTTGAGACTCTTCATCAGTATGCAGCCACCACCACGGTTCGAACCCAAGACCTTCTAGTTACAAGGCGAGCTCGTAGACCATTGAGTCACTGGGATCCAATCCAATGGTCCTTGAATTCTAACTTCTACCAATTCATGACATAGCGCGACCATTTCGCAATGTTCAATATTTGAAAATTAATCTGATGCGCACTTGTGACTCGCCCTATTTAGGTAGTTAACCTGGGGTTCTAGTGGGAAGCCGTGACCAGTAGGGTACAGCAGGTTGAAGATGAGGCAGTAACTCATCGAAGAAGACATTGTCAAGTGGTCGCGCTATGGCGCGAATTAGTAGAAGTTAAAATTCAAGCACCATTGGATCGGGTCCCAGTGGCTCAATGGTCTACGAGCTAGCTCGTCTTCTAACCAGAAGGTCCTGGGTTCGAACCGTGGTGGTGGTGGGTGCGTTCTGCTGAAGAGTCGCAAACTAGGACGAAACAGCTGTCCAGTACTCCCTACAAAATCAATACTTGGAGATTGAGCATGCATCAGGGAGACCACTGAGTGACATCACACGCCAGACAAACCCTCGAGCGGAACTTGAATGAGAAACAACGAGTTGGGCATCGGTCCAAGGGTGACGTAAAAGAGGTCGTGGGAGGAGGAGGACATGATAGCTTATGGGTAATTGTACAGCTAGATAAAGAGCAGAGTGGAAAGCACTACTGAACTTCCAAAGGGGATAATAATATCACCTCATCTTGTTCTAATTCAGGATGATTAGGAATAACAGCAGTTGTAACTGACCAACTAGTGTGATGTGAAGAACCGATATTTACGTATCATCGATTCATCTGACAGATGGATGGATATTACTCATGGCGACTTTAATTAAACTGTGACCTGGTTGGCAGATTGTTGGATTACTAATTTGAAGACGCCTGAATCGAATCCTGTCGCCAACCGATTATCAAATCAATATTTTCTTAAATTGTGAAAACTTGGACTTCAGAACCTCCTCGACAAAAAAAAACAATTTTAGCACTTACCTTCGATTCAGAGCCACAACCTTCTTCTACAGTGATAAGCATTCCAGTTTTTGGACACTGTTCCAATGTAAGCCGACCTTTTTTTGAATTTTTCTGTGGATCTGTAATTGGATGTTTAGATACTTGAATCTATAAATAGAGCGAGTGAGGTGGAGTTAGTTATTGGAAAGCAAATTACACATTACCTCATGACCGTTGACTACAGCAAAACTACACTTGAATGCACATTTCTGTGTATCACGATTTAATCGTTGTAGTAAAGCGCCACCACTGCCAAAACTCACATTCTCTGTACTCCATCCAGAGGTTTTTACTTCATTTAAAATAGGATCTAGAAGACAAAGGAAGAAAATGAGAAAAGTAAAAGATATTATCGAAGTAATCACATGTGCATTAAGAGACAAAGTTTATGTTGAAAGAGTTTCAGAGGCCTTTGATGTTTGTGTAAACATAATATGTTGACATTAGATGGTTGGAGGCAATCGGCCACAGGAAGCCTTCGACCTAGTTTTCGTGCTAGTTGACACTCACCAGTCAGCAAGGCGTATCTGCAAACTTGAAGGAATTCATGTCCCTTCTGAGGGTCGAACCCACGTCACCCAGGGCTGCAGTCAGAGACGTTACCACTGAGCTATTCAGGCTCGCCATTGACCTCCTGTAGGACTGTATTGTATATATATATACATATATAGAACACTAATCAGTAACTAGTGTAATGTGCCTAGTCCTCTCATTGGTGCAGACTGAATTCTTTTAGTCAGTCAGGTTTGTAATGTGGCCACCATTCTAGGTAGTTGGCCATCACGAAGCACACTGATCTGATGATACTAGATGACTGGAGGTGAGCTACCTAGAATAGTGACCAAATTGTCTGTCTGTCTGTTTTCGACATAGAACTTTGCACAAATGTGCGGCAGTTCAAGTCGCCACACTCCGTGTAGCATGCGAAGCAAGGGAAGAAAGTACAAGGAAAGCATAATAGAAACAGTGAGCAGAGGTGTGAGACAAAGGAATATTAATAACGAAGAACAAAACAGTTTCATTGGAAATCATAAGTCACAAGGAGTGGATGCATCTGCGCCACTGAGAACGATTTTGAGCCATGTCACCAATTGTTTCCAACCATAGATTTTTACCGTCCCGAGGACCCCAACCGGTGAGGAAGTTTACACCTTCCTACGTGGCTTAGACCAACACTGTTGTGGATTTCATTGACTGGTGCCAAGTTTTTGTTTAACCGCCGCCAGCTTTTTTCCAGCCTGACTCTATATCCGCTAACATTGCTCGTCGAGGGAGGCGATGGCTTGGCATACGTAACACATGTCCTAACCATCTCAGTCTTTGTAACTTCACAACTTCGTCGATTGATTTCCCCTGTTTACCTAGAACTCTACGCCTAACCTCCATGTTGCTCACCTTATTATGCCACTTTACACGGGAAATAGAACGCAGGCACCTATGATCAAAGACAGCTAGCTGGCCTTTTCATGTCTTCCACTCTCAGTGGCAAGGTCTCACAACCATAAAGGAGGACGGAGCGGACTGATGAGCAGTACACCCGCCCTTTGGTCGATAGTCGAACATCTCGTCTACGCCAGAGTCGGCGTAAACTGGCAAATGCGAAACGAGCCCCCTGTATTCTTGCTGAGATTTCGTCAGAGATCAGCCCGTTGGCACTGGCTGATGGTACTTCCCAAATAAGTGAAGCGGTCAACGTGCTCTACCACTTCATTTCCTATTTTTAAACTAGGCGTCGATGAAGTCCAGTCCTGTAACATCATCTTGCATTTGGCGGGAACGAATCGCATGCCAAACATTCGTAGATTGCGGCCCAAGGTGGCCACATTACAAACCTGACTGATAGAATTCAGTCTGCACCAATGAGAAGACTAGACACATCACATTAGTTACTAGTATCAAATCAAAATAAACATAACATGTGTTAAAATCAGTGTAAAATCGGGGGAATTTAGTAAAGATAGCGAGGAAAGAATTTCATGTGAACGTAGAGAAAAGACACAGGCGATGAACACACTATCGCTAACAAATAATACACACCAATCGACATCAACAGGAAAAAGGAAAAAAAAGGAGAGTTTAATCTCACCTATGATGACACAAACGGGGATTGATCGTATAGGAGAAGCAAACCAGGCCTTCGCTAATATCAAATCGATATGCGGATGGACAGAAGCCTTTAGTACAACAAAAATACTACCACAATACTACAAAATTAAACTGCTACACTTCTGAGTAAAGTTCAATATTCAAATTCACTCAGTGATACATGTGACATGTGCTGTGAATGTCATCCCAGAGGCTTCCGTGCAGGTCTCTGTTCGCTAGCCAACCCTGGGGCGGGATGAAAAAGGCAGAGGGGTGGTCAGTGCATGACGTGGCGTCGTAGGATGAAGGATTTTTGTGCTAGATTAGCATCGGTTGGTGTATCACGACTCCCTGGTTGGGGTCCACGAGATCGCTCAAATCGATGGCTCGAAACGTTATCGGATATGGCCAAGAATCGTAATCAATGGCGAACATGTTGCAATTTCCTTCTTTCTTCCCTTCCTGATAATAGTTAACGAATACTGTTTGAACTTGTCAAGCATGACTGTTTTCATTCCAGATGAAGTTCTTTATCCGTTTTCCACTTATATTTTTACTTTTAATCTATGTTGTTTTATTATTATTATTGTGTGGCGCATCTTCCTTAGTGACATATTGTACCAAGTTTTTTCTGCGTTTAACTAAAAATAATAGTAACTGACTGGTTTCAAAATAAAACTTCTTCGCACGGATATACACTACTTCAGGTCGCCGCACTCTCTCCATGCAGCAAAAAAACGAAGGCAAAAGAGAAAATGCAAAAAAAGAGACTCCAAATAACAATAAGAAATGTACAGGAGAAAGACCAGTAGCATGGAGAAACAACAGACTTTTATTGGAAATGACAAGTCACAAAGAGTGAATGCATCTGTGCAGACAATGACAACAAGGATTTCGAGTCACATCATAACCAATCGTCTCCAGCTACCATTGGCTCTTACCATCCCGAGGACTCCAACCAGCCAGCAAAGCAGGCCACACCTCCCTATGTGGCAGGCTGGCATAAACTAACTGTTCTGGATTTCATTGACTGAAGCTATATTCTCGTCCAAATACCACTAGCCCATCTCCAACCTAATCCATTATATATCATTTAACACTGCTTGTCGAAGAAGGCGATTAATGGCTAGGCATGCGTAATAATAACATATGTCCTAACCATTTCAATCGATGCAAATGCTTCACACCCTTGTCCATTGATTTTCCCTACTTACCTAGCACTCAACCGAAACTTCACCTCAATATTACTCACCCTATTATACAAACTAAACTAACACGGGAGATAGAACGCAGACACCTATGATTAAAGACAGCTGGCCGGCCTTTTAATGTCTTCCAGTTTCAATGGCCATATTTCAAAAAAAAAAACATGAGAAAGGACGGGACGAATTGCTGTACAGCACATAAATTTTTAATCGATATCCAGAGATGGTATAAGTTGATAAATCCCACACCAGCCTTTTGTATCTATGCTAACATTTCGTCTGCGAACAGCCCGTTGGAACACTGATGCAACTTCTCAAATAAGCGAAGTGGTCCATAGGTTACTGCAATCACTTAGCATCAAATTCTATTAGTACATCTATGATGAGACTAAACAGGGAGACTGGGCATCCATGAGGCATACCAATGTTTGTCATCAATTCAGATGACAAATCTGTATAAGCTCTTATCCACGAAATTTCATCAAAAAACATATACCCCCAAACCAACCTGTCAAACCAAAAGCCACCAAGGAAAACACAAAGAAAATCGCCCTACCATATATATAAAGGGTATCTCAGAAATCACTGCAACACTCTTTAAACCTTTAGAAATTGCCGTCACACACAAACCAACAAAATCACTTCACTCAGCTGGCTCTATGTCAACCAAAAGACTAAACAGCGAAAGAAGACAAAACCAACATCATCTACAAAATAAATTGTAACAACTGCGAAAAACACTACATTGGCCAGGGTGGACGTCCCCATCGTCTTCTTATCCATGAACATAAACTAGCCGTCAAAAGACATGATGACATCTACTCTCTCATATCGCCTCACTGCATACAGACAACCACGGACATCAATTCGACTGGGACAACCAGCGTTCAAATATTAGACAGAGGAAATACCAAGCATGCTAGGGAATTTTTTAGAAGCCTGGCATTCCAGTGAATTGTCAATCAATATACACACTGACAACAGACAGAATCTACCAACCGATAATAAAGAAACCTCACACCCAAAGGGTCAAAGTTCAAGTCAAAGAAACAATCAGTTCCAATACAAGTAATCTGGAAGGTGTAAAAGCACACAAAAACAACTAATCACTTCGTCCAAGGTCACTGGAAGAGATGATTAATAAACTCGTGAACAAATCTAAAAGCTCACTTCAATTGGAATTGAAGTATGCTCTGAAGATGTCGCCTAGTAGCGGTGATGAAAGCTTCGCAAATTAACTCTTCAGCTCAGAGAACACAACCACATCAAAAAAGCTCTTAAACAGCTGTGCATCAATTCGAGTAGAGTGAGTGTCTTGATTAGGGCGATTTACTTTCCTGAGACTGTCATCACGACTATACAATTACCATAGTATCTCTCTCGGTCAGTGGAGTTGAATGCTCAAATGAATACACATCAGATTAATCAATTGCTGATAAACTCAAACTACTTAAAATTTTTTAAAAACCACCATAATTACAACAAGTTAGCATAGGAAGTACTTTACAAACAAAAAACTGTAAGTTTACACCAGTAATTCATTTTTCCGCGTCAAGTTCACCTTAACAATAACTGTGTTTTACATGCTGAGAATTACTGTGTGTGTGTGTAAGAGAGAGAGAGAAAATGTTGTAAAACCACAAAATTTTACGTGTAAAACAGTTATCTATTTAAATTGATTTCACGTAAAATATATAACCTTAACACACACAACCTGTGAACTAAACTGTTTAAGGTTAATAATAATTGTATTGGCTTAGCAACAAAATGTACAACATGTGATTACGTATGTGATCAAATTTTCATCTTATAATAGTACATTGAGAATGTATGAAATGTATGTATGTGTACTAATTAGAAATGAGCAAGGTTTCAATCATTTATGGGATAGAATGCTTTCAAAAAGTGGAGGATGAGTGAGATAATCTCTGAGAAAAATGGCACCATAAATAGCCCTCGGGATAGACTACTAGGACGTTGGAAAGAACACTTTGAGGAGCAGTTTAATTGGCCTAAAGCCACACTCAACCTGCCGAACATGCAACACCTCCCTGAGTGGGATATAGACACAGATCTCCTGTCCCTAACTGAGGTTACTAAAGCTGTCACCAGTCTGAAACAAGGCAAAGCAGCAGGACCTGATGGAATTACTCCAGAGGTATTTAAGTACGGTGGAGACAGTTTATTGTCTGCATTAACGTTTTCGCCTTTATTCATATTTAGTTCGTTATGTACTTTCTACTCTATTTTAATTTGTTTCTCGTTTGTGCTGTTGACATACTAGTAGGCGATTTGTTCATTTGAGGAAAATTTTGTGCTTGTGTTATATACGTAGTGGGTCACTACCCACTTTTAATATTTGTCAGAAGTTGACATCTGTCAATAAGTACCTCTTAAACTGTACTAATTCTTAAAGTAGGATACTTAGTTAGCATTGTTCGTTCTGATGGTTGGGCTTTACGGTGTGCTGTAACTCGAAGACGAATAAAAGTTTACACCTCGTGTTTTCGCTCAATCGTGTCATTCATACTCAGTATCCGTTCATTTCTGGACATCCTTGCAATGATAAATGTAGAAGCTAGGACGAATAGATCGCCTGTGCTGTGTGTGTGCATACATATACAAGTAGTTTAACTATGCAGTCTTAATGATATTCATTCCCTCAGATAATGCATGAGATTTAGTAGAACCATTGGGGGCTTCTCAGTGACATTTTAAATCCATTGCATTAAAACTGAAATATTCGTATGCTTTGAAAAGAAAACTTAATTCGACTGTTTTTAAAGGCATCAAGTAAAGACGCAGTAACGGATTTTCTTTTACTTGAGTTCGACGAGAATATTTTGCGTTTATTTTCATTTACTTTCTGACGTGTATGGGATCTTTACTGTACGGCAAGTAAAAAATTCTGATTGGAAAGTCTAGCACTTGCTTATGTCATCATGTATTAGAGCTGAGCTACGGCTTCTGTTCACAGACGTAGTGCTCAAAGCATCTGTTTCAGACTTGAAATATTAAAAATAAGGAACGGTGTTATAACCGAGACTTATAAATAGTTGTGAGCATGAATATTTTAAAGAATGAACAGTATCTATTCTTAACAACTAATTCTACCTTGGTGATTGTATTATCAGTAATCCTCACTGTCAGGATAGTTAGAAATTTCTAGCTTAGGTAATTTCATAAATCTTTTGCATATCACCGCTACTAATTAAGACATTCACAGATCAGATGAAATAAGCAGTGTTTGTATTTGATGTGAATAAATTCCCTATATCACTTGTACTAATATCGAAACCTATTATAGTTTTTAGCAGGCTCAATCAGCCATATTGCTTATGTACGTACATATCTTGATTTAGCACAAGTTTCGTAAAGATATTTCGAAATCTATAGTCGAACACTTATAGTGTCTTAATTCCAATTCTTTTGTATTTATTACGGAATAAAAACTCAAGATTTCTCTGAAGGCTATTTATGATGCATATATATATATATATAATTATTCACCAACTGAGATAGCTGTAACATGTAATACGCATTGTAAATCAGTTGGAAGAAAGAAAAGGATGGGGCAAAATAAAATAGGCCTTCAACACATGGATTTATTCTCTGTGAAGGCGACAAGAATACCTGTTAACCTATACAAAACTACATATATATTAAAGTTATGCATGACATATTAATCCTGTTTTACAAGAATACTGGCAAGTCATAACGTGTGAGTTGGAAATCAGACAAGGTCATCTCCTTAAGCAAATGTGCAATAAAATTGAGTACAATGTGACATTGAGCACTCCCGGTAAAAACTATTAGTCTCAGTGGCACAGTGGTTAGGACTCTCGCCAACCATGCACATGGTCCGAGGTTCGATCCCCTGCCGACTCACACCTGATATCTATGGTCGGCCTGCAAAATTTGGGCTACCGATATCCATGCTGAAAATTCCATACTTGTACCAAAAATACGGTGTGGAATCAAGCTGTAATCAAAAATAAAAATAAAAAAAATACTAGGCAGCGTCTGGGAATCAGAAGAAGTCCCGTCGGGTTGGTGTAGATCACTGATTTTCCCCATACACAAGAAGGGAGACAAATCTTCCTTTGATAATCACAGAGGGATTAGCTTGACTAATATAGTATCTAAAGTCCTAGGCTCAGTAATATTTCGCAGACTAAGTGGTGCTCGGGAGGCACAAACACGAGAGAGCCAGACAGGCTTTAGACCAGGAAGAGGGTGTATTGATCATATCTTCACCCTCCGACAGATTCTAGAACATAGGCATTCCTACCGGCGTCCAACAATCATTATATTTCTTGACCTTAAGGCGGCATTCGATTCTGTCGACCGAGAGGTACTCTGGCGATGATTGACGGTGAAGGGAATTCCGAGAAAATACCTTGCAGTGATCAAGGCACTATCTCTACTCGAACTCATACAGTCAGCCAGGTGAGTTGTCATCTGAAGTGGTGACAACTAGTGGTGTCCACTGTCCCCATTTGTGTTTAATTTCATCACAGAAGTACTAATGGACTTTAACTAACTACACTGACTCAGTGATTGACTTGCTACCAGGGAATAATCTCAGTGACTTAGAATAAGCACATGATATAGACCTTCCAGGTGAAGGCCGTGACACAATGACAAGTCTTCTAAACACCTTGAGGAGCAGCAATCATCGAAAGTTTGCCACACAATTCACTTTCGTTAAATGTTACATGATGCTACAGGAGTGGACTGGACTGCATTGACTCCTGATTTAGAAATAGGAAGTGAAGCGGTAGAGCATGATGACCACTTCACTTATTTGGTAGGTTGCATCAGTCAGCTCCAGTGGGTTGATCGCCGACCGAATCTCATCATGGATACAAAAGGCTCATGTGTCATTCGCCAACCTACCTCATCTTTGGCGTACACATGATATCCGTCTGGCTTTCAATCAAACGACGTGTGTACTGTTCAGCAGTTTTTTATATCCTCGTTTACGACTACCACCGAGAAATGACAATTGGTGGTGGATGACATGAAAAGGACTGCTAGCTGTGCTTGATCACAGGTGCCTGTGTTCTATCTCCCATGTTAGGTTAGGTAGTATAATAGGGTGAGCAGTTACATTTATAAATGCACATTGAAGTTAAAATGTCAATCTGAACGAAGAATATTCTTTTCAATAATTTCTCCTCCTCATGGTTCTTACAATTATAAAATATAATATTTCTTGTCGCTACAATAATAGCCAGTTATGCGGCGGATACACTCAATGTGCTAGCCTCTCTTTACTCTCTTCTCCTGCTCTATGTGCTACATGGAGGAGGGAGTGTGATGGCAACTCGAGGTGATGCCCATCTGTGAGAAGTAGTTCTGAGTTGAAACCAATCAGTCAGTCAGTACAGTTAGGGGTGTATTTGAAACAATGTAGATCAACAGGATCAAACAGAATCGAAGAGAATGTAATTAGGACAACGGGGATAACTTATTCTAAATCGGGGTTGAAGGCCACAGGAAGGAGAGAGGAATTGAATAAACGTTTTCTGAAGACGAAGATTCGGCGAAATACTTGGTTGGGTTAGGTGTAAGACTAGCTTCCCAACCACAAAAAAATTAATCGAATCGCTCTCTGTAGGTCTGTCTGGATTCAACATAGAACTTGGCACCGAAGTGCACCAGTTCGAGTTGCCATGTTCCAAAATAGCACACAGAGGTAGACAAGAAGATGAGTGAAGAGAATCAATAGAGTTTGACAAGTATAAGAGTGAAACAGAATGGGTAATGGTAGAAAGGAATATGAAAGATTACAGAGACTGAATACATCTGCGCTGGCCATTGACAACGATTTTGAGCCATGTCACCTATTGCCTCCAGCCATTGATTCCTAGAGTCCCGAGGGCCCCAACCCGGGAGTCTGCATCTCCCTACCTGACTCAGTTTAACTGTTAAGGATTTCATGGATTGATGATGCCAGGTTTTTGTTTGGCCACCACTGGCTCTTTTCCAACCTGCACCTATATCAGCTAGCAATGCCCGCCTGTCGGGGAGGCGGTGGTTAGGCATGCGCAGCACGTGACCTAGCCATCTTAGTCTATGTATCTGTATAGCTCTCTGTAGGGATTATGACTAACAGACTTCGGTGACGAGAAGACAAGGTAACGTAAGAAAACACAACATCAGAGATAAACATGCTTACCCAATGACTCTAATGAAACACCATCTCCTTGGATAACTCGAATACATGAGGGTAAAACTTTATAACCTTTCGAATTGATTGTATACCCAAATTGTTTGCCTAATATATTTAACACTTTCGAAATTACTTCACGTGGATCACCAGAATCTGGTCGAATAATTACAGTACCATTACGATTCATCACCTGATGAAAGGAGAAGAAAAAGGGAACAAGCACATTTATATATATGCAATGAGAAATTACAGATAATCCGACAAATCTCAACAAAGATCATAGTAGAAATAAAGCCACTTGTCTACGTCTGAAGAAAAGTTCACCACTGACGTCCAAATTGTGAAATAATGAAATTCTCAACCGAAGTACATCGTTTTAACAGAAGAAGGAAGACTGAACACTAGTGTTTATAAAAAGCCAACGCAAACTGCTAATAGATATTTAGATTTTAATTCATCTCATTAATTAACAGATAAGGCACAGGCTTAGTGAAGTGTCTTACAAACCGATGCATAGCACTAAGTAGTACAAGGAGAGACCAAAGCGATGAAGTGAAACAGATAGAAGAATAGTTGGTTGGTGTTAAATAACTATCCTATAAAATTAATTAGGAAGATCGAAAAAGGCCAAAAGCAAAATGAAAATAACAGTGAAATCAATGATGATAGCATGAATAAGAAAGAATATAAGGCACCTACTGTTATACCATATAAGGAGGGCACATCTGAGACCCTCCCTACATAGGATTCTTAATAAAGCAGGAATTAGGGTGGCATTCAAACCTACAATGATTGTGAGTGAGGTTAACTACAAAGGTCAAACTACCAGATCGGGAGTAGTCAGAATGTTGGAACATAAGAATTTAGCTAAGCATTGGTTTGTGGGGATTTGATTGATTGGATTGCACGATTTCATTATTGATAAGAGAACCAGTGAAAACCTAGGAGTACTGGACAGCTACTTCGTCCTAGTTTGGAACTCTTCAGTAATACGCACCCACTGAGGTTCGAACCCAGGACCTTCTAGTTATAAGTGGGAAGTCGTGACCAGTAGGGTGCAGCAGGTCGGGTATGAGAACAAATACTCGCCGCAGACATTGGCTAGCGGTCGCGCTATGTCGCTAATTGGCAGAAGTTAGAACTCATGGGTCATTGAGTCGGCTTCCAGTGGATGAATGGTCTACGACTTTCCTTTGTAACCGGAATGTACCGATTTTGAAACCCAGAGCGTTCGTCCTACAGATGAGTCCAAAACTTGCACGAAACAGCTATCCAGTACTCTTTGGTTTTCAATGGTTCACTAATTCATATCAATCCCTGATCAAACTAGAAAAAAGTCATATATCATTCCACTATTAACTACTATCAAATAGTGACTGGCTAATTGAGTTTCAACATAGAACTTTGCAAAGAAATGCATCAGTTGAAATTGCCACATTCCATGTACCACACAAAAGCAGAGAAAAGAAATTCAGAAGAGCTACGATGAGGAGAAACCTGAGGGAGTCTAAGAAGATCGATCCAGAGAAAACCTACGTGGAATGGTCAGCTAACAAGCTCCTATAGCTGGGTAACCATTCAACAAAAGCGGAATTTAATTAAATCACTTGCCACCCGCATCCAACACATCTGTAGTCCCGACGTTCTGGAAACAGAATTAGATATTCTAAGAGAAATCTTCATCCAAAATGGATACCCAATAAGATTCATCGAAAAAAATATCAAACCGAGAATTCGGAGAAACGAAACTTTAATTGCGCCTAAAAAGAAACTCTACATGAACTTGGATTTCAAGGGAGATTCAACAAGCGATATTCTCGAGAGAAGGATCACATCATCTCTGAGAAGAATATGCTTTGCAGCAACGCTAAGAATAGTGTTCTCCAGTCGCCCACTGATCTGCAGAAGCCTCAAGGACAAGATCCCGAATCTGACCATTTCTACGTGCATATATCAGTTCACCTGCTGCTGTGGAGCCAGGTACATCGGTCGTTCGACGCGCACCCTGTCCAAGAGTATTCAAGAACACTATCCAGCATGGTTGCGAAAAGGCAACAGTTGTGCAATAAGGAGTGCGATAATTGAACACCTGGTTAACAGACTGATCATTCCATTTCAATAAACGCCTCCTTCAAAGTATTCAACAGATTCAAGAATAACCTATCAAAGGCAATACGCTTTCGTTTTCTTTGTATTGCTGAAGCTCTGGCCATTCACATAGAAAAACCGGAGCTGTGCATACAAAAGAGAAATACTCGACCACTTCTACTGTCATGGTAACAACTTTGTTGATTTTGATGACTTAATTTTGTTTGTTTGCCTGTTTCTTGAATTGCTTATAATTCTTCTATTCATTTAGAACTCTTACGTAATTTCGTATTCTCTTCTTTCTTCCTATGTGCATCCTGAGTAAAACTCACTCATCAAACTGTTCATATTATTATTACATAACTTCTTTTAACAACTGCTTGTGACAACTCATCGCCTTTCTTACTACCATAATTTCATTAACACCTAATTTTCTTGACTTGTATTACCAATCTTCACCCCTTTAGTTAAAATAACCACAACCAATTGTAATTTTGTTTGACAAACTTAATGTACACATACATACAAAATAACACATATATATTTGCGACTGTACAGCTACGAAAATGAATTCACCGTCGAAAAGAGACTCTTCGCCGATCTACGTGTTTTGTTTTCAGAAATCTGAGGAACAAAAAATACTAACATGGATAAACATAAGAACTCAATGGATATGGGAAACCACATGACGTGAATGCAACTGCGTCCGTCACTGAGAACGATTTTGAGTTACATCCCCAATAGTTCCAAAGCCATTGATTCTTAACAGTCCAACTTTCCAACCACATTATCTACATTTCTCCATTTGGCTGGCTCAAACCAACTGTTAAGGACTTTATGTACACACGCTGCGCTTCGGTTTGCCCACCTCTCTAAAACTTTCCTAATCCAACTATGTGTCAGTTAACATTACCCTTCGAGGAGGGTGAGCAATGGCTCGGCATGCGTAACACACGTCTGAATCATCTCATTGATTAAGTCACTCTCCCAACTTCACCTAACTGTAATAGTACTCATTATATCATAAGGCATATAACGTAAAACTCGGTAGTGAAAAACAATTAACCTTTCCATATCTTCGACTTTCGATGCCGATGTTTCTCAGACATAAAGGAGGATGGAAGGAACTGCACCACAGTAGACACACCGTTTTACAGATAGCCAGATATCACATCTACACCAAAAATAAGGTAGGTTGGAGAATACCACATGAGTCTTTTGTATCCGTGCTGAGATTTCATCAGCGATCAGTTCACTAGAGCTGATACCATTTCACTACCCATTTTAACGTGATGATCGGTGTAGTCCAGTCATCCGGCATCATATTACATTTTTACAGGGAGTGAATCGAACACCAAACATTCGAGAATGTCTGCTCAAGGTGTTCAGAAGACTCCATACTTTACTAAGGTTTTCACCTGAGTAGATAAATGCCAAACAAGAATGTCTCCTATTTATTATTTGAATTTTAGATTTTCTCGTCGATTGATTGAACCGAAGTGCTCGGTCTCAGTTTGACATGTGGTTTTTGTGGCCCATGTGGTCTAGTGGATGACGCCTTGACGTTTGAAACTATGGGCACTAGGTTCGAGCCTCGGTGAGAACATTATCCCTTACTGTGGAATGCAGGTACATCCACTAGCGCTGAAGAGTCCCAAATAGGACGAAATGGGCATTGTCTTGGATTCCACTCCTAGTCATCATCCACCAATTAACCTCTAAGAATATCTCCTAGTAACAGGTCAATTCCTAAGTTGCTAAAGTAAGTTAGCGTCAGTTCACTTGGTATATTTATAATAACATTCGAGAAAAATGGAGACAATCGGCATCCCCGACAGACACACAAAACCACTAGTTATAATCAATTCAGCTGACAATAGGCAAACAAAATAAACGACGCTATTAAATTAACATTGCGCAGAAAGAGTGCATTTAAAAAAATATTGATTTAATCACTTCAAAGCAAATAACAATAAAGAGAGAAGAAATTAATGATTATAATTCATTGAGCTAGTTGCGTAACCAGTGCAAATCAAGCTTAAATAATAATAATAATAATAATAATAATAATAATCAATGTAGGCAAGTACAAGTACAAAGTCTGATGAAGACATTAGAGCTACAAGCTATATGCCATTTATCATATAGTCTAACTATTAGATGGTTTATTACTGTTGTTTTATTCTTTTACGTTCCGGGTGGAACATGCGGTTTCAAGATAGAACTCTGAAGTTCCAACTTCATTAAGAATACAATTTTATTTTGATAAAAATCACACAGTGTTTGTTGTACAACAGTATTTACTGAGGACCACAAGCCCAATTTATTTTATTTTTTTTATATAGCTTAACTCCACACCGTATTTTTGGCACAAGTGTGATATCATTAGTTCAAATTGTGCAAGCCGACCATTGATATCGGGTGTGCGTCGGCAGGGGATAGAACTCCATATCATATGCATGATCGGCGGGCGTTTTAACCGTTGTACCACTGATGCTGCTCATAATGTGATATCAAGTCACTCACACAACTTTCTTGCTTCGTTTATTTATATACATGAGTGAAAATTGATGATTAGACATTCAAATAAAATCCGTAATATAAGATAAAGCATATTCAGAAATAATAATGATAAAATTAGTGTTATCAATCAAATACAATCAGATGGGAAATAAAATGTTTTTATAGTAAAATGAATAAATAACATGTTATAATGTTATTATGTACGTGAATTGAATATATTTTAAGATTACTAATTTTCCTCCTCTGGTTTGACTGACTGGTGGTAATAATATCTTCCATATTTCTGGTATTTGCGTTAAGTCATTTGTTGCATGTGCTGTGTTGGGTGTAGACTCGATGAACCAGAATTCAGTAATCAATCTCTCTCTCTCTCTCTCCATTTATATTACTTTTTAGATTCTTGACTCTGTCCCACCCACCCTATTGCACGGTTGAGTGTTCATGCAGGCAGTGTGGTCGATGAGTTCTTTTCTAAAGTATTTATCTCTAAGGTGTCAACCATTCTAACTTTAGCTAAATTCTTATGTTCTGACAGGCAATCTCTCTACTCCTGATCTACTAGTTTGACCTATGTAGTCT